TTCCTTTCTTTCCTCTTTACTTTTTAATTGTCGCTGTTAACTGAGTTTACAATTCTTCTCCATTCCGTTTTATAGCTGCTTCTTCACACTCATTCTTGTCATAGGTACTTGTTAATCCCCTTTAAGTTTTTTTAGAAAATATCCTTGTACTTTTTGAGTTGTCCACCTGGTTTCCTTTTACCGTTTACATTATAGCGTTTTTTAAACCACTACTACTGCGAACGGCAGCTTTTCATCGGAGAGCAGCCGTGGATAAGGTATTTCACTGAAAAAAAAACTAATTAATAACAATAAACAAAAGTATATAGATATTGGGCGCCAGGCATGTACAGGGTGAGTCAACGATTGATATACACGAAATGTGAGTCAACGATTGATATGACAACGAAAGTCCATTATCTCATTTGTTTCTAGGTTTACAAAAAAAAATTAATATAAGAGTTATAGGGATGGTTAAGATACACATTTTAAAATTATTATAGAGTATACAAGGTGCTTCAAAAAAGTGTGGCGGCTATAACATGTTTTTTTAAATGCAACACCCTATTTTTTATTTTATTTTTAGATTCTGCGTAAAATTCTATAACTTTTTTATATATAATATTATATACCTAAAATGATTAGTTTTTGTAATATTTCAATTTATTTAAAGAAATGTTAAATTGCAGTGTGGTAAAAAATTGTCAGTGGTGCCATTGTTTCTGAAGATGGAGTACCAAAATTTGGTAGGAGAGTTTTATAAAGATGAAAAAAAAGATATATGTAAAGATATTTTAGTTAAATGATACAGGGTGTTCAAAATATATTTATGAATTTCAACTACTTAAAATTAAAAAATCTCAAATTTTTTAAATGGGACACCTTATATATTATCATTTTTTCTGATAGATTTGACAAAATTCTTCAACTTTTATTAAGTATGTCATATCCCTATTTTAAATAGTTTGCAATTTATTCCCATTTTTTTCTATTTTTACCCATATTTTTAATACAATTACCCTATAAAATCATAGTTGCCATGACAAAACAAAACTATTTATTACTTACCTTTAACAAGTAGCTTCATAATTAGTTACAATTGCTGGTATTAGTTAAAATTAATTAACTTTACTCAAATAAACTAAATCGCAGTAGTGAATTTCTTGGTGTATTTCTATATTATGAACGATGACACTTGGGATTTTTTGTCGGGGCGAATAGCCACAGATTAGGGTAATATTAGATTACCTAATTGCTAAAGACTACTGATATATGAATTTTCTTCGACATACAGTATAGTTTTTTTCTCGTAGTAATTTTGGTTTATAATTCATTTGGTAAAGCCTATATTACTACTGCCGCAAAACCGTCCCATTACACACTGAAGATGTTTTCTAGATAATATACATCTATCCTTATAGTAGTTAGCAAAGTACTATATAATATATAGTACTGAACCAAAAAATGTGGTTTTCTAAGCTTGTCCGCGTATATCAATCACATTGACTAATTCATTTCAAGAAAATCTGTTATCTCTACCATTTATACTTATTACAACAAATTAAACTAAAATTCAAATTTTGTTCTTAACTTGCTTAACAGACATGAAATTGTCATAATTATTACTTTTTGTCATGGCAACTATGATGTTATAGCGCAATTGTATTAAAAATATGGGTAAAAATAGAAAGAATTGGAATTAATCGCAAACTAATAAAAATAAGTATATGACATTCTAAACAAAAGTTGAAGAGTTTGGTAAAATCTATCAGAAAAAATTATAATAGATAGGGTGTACCATTTAAAAAAATTGAAATTCCTTAATTTTAATTAGTTGAAATTCCTAAATATATTTTGAACACCCTGTAACATCTAACTAAAATATCTTTACATAGGTCTTTTTCTACATCTCTATAAAATTCTCCTACCAAATTTTAGTTGTCCAACTTCAGAATCAATGCCATCATTGACAATTTTTTAACCCACTGCAATCTAACATTTGTTTAAACAAATTTAAATATAACAAAAACTATTAATTTTAGGTATATAACATTATATATAAAAAAGTAATGGAATTTTACGCAGAATCTAAAAATAAAATAAAAAATAGGATGTTGCATTTAAAAAAACATATGTTATATTCGCCACACTTTTTTGAACAAAAAGCTAGCCTTTTCAAATAATGATACATTTGAGACATGGTGGTACCATTTGATTTTCAACAGTTGTCTATGGTGTCTCTGTTACAACTTGTTTAATTTGGTTTCACCAGGTTTCGCTTCCATATATGTGAGATAATGAGATAATTTGAGTCTGGGATAATAAGAGTAGGTAAACAGAAGATAGATATGTCTTCTAAAAAGATATGTATTGAAAAAACGTAAGAATTAATATAATCGTATGTAGACGGAATAGGAAATATTGATTGTCTCAAGCACAAAATGTTTCCAAGAATTATGAGATTATATAAAAAATAAAATACGTAGTTTTTTGAAGCAGGTTTAATTCATTTACAGAAGAATACTAAATAATACATCTCTCTAATGGAATTCTAATTAAGACTGGTTCAGCAGTTTTGAATATCGATCCAGACCGTTCGGCAAACATACAAAATTCAAAACAAATTTAACCCATGACCTTTAGAATGAGGTGAGCTAGAATTATCATTGTACAGAAACAGAATATATTCCAAATTATTTATTTGTTTAGAAGTCTAGTATATAGATTACTGATTTAATAATAAAAGTTTTAATAAAGTATTTATATATTTCAGACACAATAAAAATATTATTTTATTTTACAGTGCCCATTGTTAATTAGACCACTGTAAAAAATCAGCCTGAGTGAACACATATTTCTCAGGGAGTGAATTTTTTGAGTGAAATAATTGAGTACATTTTCATCTAAAATAGAGTAAATTCATCATTTAACTCAAATATGATCTCTATTTAATCAATGGCGATTGAATAAGCTCATGTTCGAGTTATAGCCCCTATCTTTGAGTAATGGAATAGAAAAATTAACTTAAAAACTCATGTTATAGTTTAACACATTAAAAATTTGAGTGAAATCTCCCAGTTTAGAGTATTTTCGCTCATTACTAATCATACGTCATACGCGCTTCTTCGATACCCAATAAGCTATTCCCCTGTTCCTCAGTTTGTAATTATCTGTTCGAGTCGTAGGTTGTCTTGTCCCTTCGAAGGTGCCAAGGTCACAAGCCCATAGTGTGTGTATAAAGTGTGATGTAAAGTGTAACTGTTAATAATATGTTTTATGTTAAGAACATTTTTTTTCACATCGCAGAAATCCGCCCAACATAGCATAGATTCAAATTCGACTGCGCCAATGCCGCAATGCTGATGTTTCCTTGACTAATTAGCGTAGCGAAAATCTAGGTACTTTCTCTCAATCATGAATTGGGAACTGGAACATTTGGCAGAATAACAATTTTTTTTTAATTTTCAGGAGCAAAAGTATCTGGGTTTTCCGAGGGATTTTCGTTATTAAAAGTTAGTTTAGAAATTAGAAATATTCGAGAAGGTGGCCGAACTGACGAATGCTCTTAATAAAGCGGATTTTTGCGATGTGATGCAACTTTTCTAGACATCTAACTTAAAAAAGTTCCTGTATAAAGAGTTAAAAAAACATTTTGATATTATAATAATAGTGTTATATTTGGTTTTATTTGTTTTTTTCAAATAAAAATGACAAATAAAAATATTTTTGAAGGTTCTACAGTTTTTCATTTGGTTTGTTAAAAAAAACGAAATATTCTAAATGATTTTTTTAAAAGCTATATGTAAGCTAACTTCTTATTTTATTACAAGTGAACAGATGCCTCCCAAAAGTGAATTTTAGGAAATGGACATGTTCGAGACCATGTCCTAAACTGAAACTTACCGTTGAAAGGCACCTGCCCACCTGTTTTAAAATAACAAGTTAGCTTACATATAGCTTTAAAAAAATCATTTAGAATATATTTCTCAATACTGAGTGAAATTAATACTCAGATATGAGTACTAATCGAGTTAAGTGTAATACAAAGTTGAGTAAAAGTCACTCAATAAAAGGTGTACTTGAACTCAACACTTAGTGAGTTCACTCATTTTAAAGTGAAAAATTATCAAAATCGAGTCTTTCGTCTAATCTCGATTGAGTGAAAACACTCAGTGCTTTTCACTGTGTGAATTGAAGATTCACTCAGTTCTGTAGAGTAGAAATTTCACTCAATCGGGTGTGGACAGAAATTGAGAAAGTATTGAGTGAAATCTGAGTGAAATTTCACTCAATTTTTTTTACAGTGACTCCACAATGTAAATATGCAAAATTAATTTTATTTTGCGCAATATTTTAAAGTTATTTTTAATAATAAAAGTTCATTTTTAAAATAAAATACAGGAATACGATTTTATTTGGATTCATAACATACAGCTATATTACAGGGTCGTCCAAAAGTACAGCTGTAATATAATTCAGCTACCATTTATTCTGCTATCTTATTTGTTTTAATAATTATTGATTACTGGTTTAAAAATTGTATCTATTATGTATATACAGGGTTTTTTTTTGTAAAATTGTAGTTCTAATAGTCCCCCCCTCCCTTCAACGAACCGAAAACTCATAATTTGCAAACATCTAATCGTTTAGCTACAATACTCCGGGTCGTATGAGGTGGACAATCTGTATATTTTTAATTAAGTCATCTGAACTCATAGAGTATAGACTCAGTATAGAGAGACACAAAACATTTTATTTTCTATTAAATTATGTAATTTAATATAGGTGTCTACCAGACCACCCTGTAGGAATCAAATTAAAATTATTCAGTTTATCCGTAAGGCTTACAGTGGTTTTTATTTAGTAAACCTTTTTATTATTTTTGTTTCTTTATATCATTCAATCTACTTCGAGTGTATCTGTTTGCACCAAGTTCCACTGTTTCGACTTCCTCTTTAAAAATTCTCTTTAAAATTTATCAGCATTTAATGATATATTTTCTCTGTTACAGTTTTGTTGATATACACGCTTTCGGCATCGCCGTATAAGACTTGAATTTACGTATATATAACTATGTTAAAATATACATTTATTTCTTTGTTATTTACATTATCTGTCCTAGCTTCGGTAGTAAAAGAACATCGTTTTCGAATTCCCAATCAAACTTCCACACATTTCATCGGTCGGGCTCCAATCAATAGAAGTGTCAAAGTTTGTGACGTGGGTTCTGAAAATATTACAGAGTGTAAAACTTTGGAGAATACATTGGAAATAGCGAAATTTATCACGGGGACCCGAATAAAAGTTCAAGTTCGCGATGAACCCTTGGCCGAAGTACATAAATATTTTTTTACCGGATTGCTACACGTTGAAGATCTTATTATGTGTGATTGCGGAGTGATTTATATCGAGGCTGGAACGTTCTTTCCTTTGATATCGCTGAAAAAGCTTGATTTACGACGCAATTACATTGAACATATCAAACCAGGTAGGTAAAGTTAAGTTAGTTTTTTTCTATGCTCCATTTTTATGACAGGGTGGTCCGAACTGTATTCCGGAAACTGAGGTAGCATATTCTGCAGATAAAAATAAGTAAAAAAGTTCCTATAAATGTATGTTCTAAAATGTAGTACTCTCGCTCAGTACTAGGCCCTATTTTGTTTCTTCTTTTTATTAACGACATTGCTAACATAAACATCAGTGGCAAAATATGTCTTTTTGCGGACGACACTAGCTTCACTTGGAGCAACAAGGACATCACGGCACTTCATAGGATTATATCAAATGACTTAATCACCATTAAATCTTGGTGCGATTCGAACCTCCTGAGTATCAACATTTCTAAAACTAAAGCTTTGTCGTATAAAAACTCGTTGCAGCCTTTTGTACTTAACAACACCACCATTGACGTCGTCAAATCTGTAAAGTTCTTGGGGCTTGTTGTGGACAATTCTCTGAAATGAGACATACATATCGAAGCTTTGTCGAAAAAATTGAGCTCTGCCTGTTTTGCATTAAGGTCTGTTTCTAAAGAGCTTAACTTGTCAGTGGCTAGAACTGTTTATTATGCACTTTTTGAGTCGCACCTCAGGTATGCCCTTCCATTCTGGGGTACGTGTTGTGCGACTCAATTTGACCGCATTTTCAGGCTCCAGAAGAGAGCTGTTCGATATTCACTGGGACTAAACAGCATAACTCATTGCCGGGACTTTTTTAAAAAATTAAAAATATTGACTCTTCCTTCCTTATTTATATTTGAATCCGTTTGCCTAATACGTAAACATGTATCAGCTTCTCAAGAAAGGCCATCTCACACTTATCCACTCAGGAACACGGAGCAAGATCTTTATCTACCTACCCACGCTCAGAGTTAGTTAAAAGTTCAATATTATACAACTCGAAAAAAATGCACAATCACCTGCCATTTGAAATCAAATCCATAACATCATTTTTTTCATTTCGCAGAGCATTGAACTCTTATTTACTAGACAAGGCTTTCTACGCCGTAAATGAATTATATTTTGAAAATCAAATTTGATCTTGTAAACATTGGTCTAATGTTTGCTATTGCTATATTTACTAATGACATCGAAATTAATTTATTTAGAGGTCATTGATATTTTACTATAAACTAGCTAAATATTTTTGAATATTATTTTTATTTTTTTGTTCTTTGACATTATAAACGTTTATAAATGACAATATTATTTGTATAATGTTTTGTCTTATCTTTTCTTTCTTTGTTTGTGTACCTTGTTTTTTACTTTGTTTGTTAGTTTACCTTTGTCTACAAATTGAAAAATTTTTTGACAATAAAGGCATTTATATAATGCTTAATTTAAGATATACTGGGTGTAGAAATTCCCTTTTTATTTCGATTTTTTCCTAATAATTTCTGAAGTAACGTCAATATATGGATCAAAATTGGTGTCTGGGAGTTTTTTGAAATGAGAACTTTAATTTTGATGTTAATATGGCTCCTATTTGTAGGGGGCGCCACCTACATGTGTTTTAACATTTTTAAAGAGTAATAACTTTTCGTCCGTACCGGTATAAAACTACTGAGTAAAAAACATACATTTCCGAGACTTTTTACGTAAAAAATGTCCAACTGCCAAATGAAGTTGTCATTTAATAGTACCTAAATTAATAAGTTATTGAATATTGTAATAATACTATAATTAACCTTGTAATTGATTACTTTATTTTACTTTAATTCATATTAATTTGCATTTCTAAATACATCTTTAAGATTTCCGATGTAGGAATGAGTTTTCAATAATAATAAAGCACTAAATAGGTAAATTTCTGAAATGGCAACTTCATTTGACAGTTATCTTTTACCTTGACTGGTGCTCATAAGTAAATACAGGGCTATAAGAAAGGAGAAATATTTAAAAAGAAATCGGCGATAACTCGTAAACGAGATAATCAAAAACATCTAAAGTTATTCTTTTGAATGTGGGTTTTAGTGCTTTTCAATAAACCTAAATAGAATTATTCTCTAAAATAATTAGGGAAGCCAATAATTGACCCCACTAAAATTTACATGGGATTTCCTATGTCCCGTCCGACGATGCAACACCCGGTATATTTAAATTGCTTGTAAATTGAGAGGGTTAAAATTAGAAAACTTAATTTTCACTATTAAATACCTATAATTATTTTTTTTTGTAAAACCAAGAGTGAAAATACTAACAAATAATATAATTAATAATATAATTTATATTTAGTCACCTTAAATTTACAATTTTAGGCACTTAAAATGTTATAAAAGTGAAATATAACATGTTTTTTTATCAATTAGAGGTGAATCTTGAAATTAACGCAACAAAAATATGAAATATACAGGGTGAATTTTAAATAAGTGCAAATATTTTTAGGGTTGGTATATTTCGACTCCAGGAATACTGTGACAAATCTTTTCGGATTAATCACTTGTCTATGGGTAGCGTGACTATTTTATAATTTTTATAATTAAAATAATTTATTGAGCGGTAGGCAGAACTTGGATTAATGAGAGCACCGACTTTTCAGAGCGTAAATATAGTTTATCGTTTACATATAAAAACAAAATATAACCAGCTAAAAATAGAAATTAAAAGGTATCGCACTTTTATGGTAAGGGCTCTTTCTAAATTCAGTTACTATAAACTCTATTGCCACTTACCTTATTACGTCAACGTCCGTCAGCAATACATCAACAACAAGAACCTGTCGAAGATTTCATTGATCCCCTTGTAGATCTACCTCTTCGGTCTTGGACTCATACTTTGGATTGAACCACTCGACCGGTTATCACAGTGTTCTTTTAATTAACTTAATATTTTAGTAATTAGGTGAAATAAAGAAATAAAATGCCGATTTTTCACAACACCTAACTATATTTAATATAAAGAAATAAATAAATAAAAAAAATAATGAAAAAGATTTAACAACAAAACATTTATAATTAATGAAAAAGAAAGAAATTGAATCAAAAATAATTAATGACAATTAGAGAATTGAAATTAAAACTCAGAGATAATAAAGTTAAAAAAAATACAAAATATTCTTCTTATTAGTCCAATTTAAATTATCTACAATTAGCATACACTTTCAAATCTCTCTTAGAATTATCGTTGGCAGAAAATTAATATATTAAAAAAATATTCACTGAACAATTAAATTTAAATTAGAATTTAATAAAAGAACAATTGCAAAATAATCACTTATGCAATGACATCTAAAATTTACTAAAGCCTTTAGAACAAACAGAAAGTCTTAAATCATTAATAAAGAAAAATATTAGAGAAAATCCAAAAACAACAATTAAAATACTGTAAGCATGAATAGTTTAGAATTTCCTAACTTGAGAAAATCTTTAGATAGAGAACTTACTAAAACAATTAAAAAGACCACTGGATAATATAAGATCAATAGTACCAGCATCAGTATTTTCATCTTCAAAATTAGTTCGGTACTGACTTTTAAATTAGACGGTCGAATTTAATAAGTGTAATTCGACCGTCTAATTTAAAAGTCAGTACCGAACTAATTTTGAAGATGAAAATACTGATGCTGGTACTATCTCGGAAAGGCGTTACTACATCTTCGGCACGCCCCTGTTTGAGGAACCTTCGAATACCCATCCAAATGCATATTTCGCACCTTTTAATTGGCCGAGAAGGGGCTCCTTCCCGAAAGATCCCTAGACTTCTTTCACCCTCTAGTTTCTGGTCCTCGTCCCGAGAGGGCATCAGCATGTCCTATTTATTAATTAAATGTAATTTTTAAACCCTTCCGTGTAAATCTTACTCTTTTACCAATTTGCTGAATAATATTCGTAATCTTAAGTTAATAGTGCTGAATAATATTCGTAATCGTAAGCTTAACTAATACAAATGATATCGTGCCATAGGATTACCTTAGAAAAAAACCGCCTAGAAATTAACTCTTTATTTCTTCATATTTTTGTCTATTTCTATTTAACTCTAGGAACGGAAAAAAAGATAATCCTATTTCTATCATTTTCAGACATTCATCTCGTGAACATTTGGATTCTGATTTTAAACATATATTTAATACTTTTAATTTTCAATGTAAAACCTCTAGCGAAGGGATGATTTAATTTTACTTATTTCGTTAAGCATGCCTACGTGCTTTTTCTGCGTTGTTTATTTTGAGATATCCCTAGTGTACAAACTGGTACCACTCTGTCAAATAGAGTTTTTTATAATAAGGGATGAATGTTTGTTCTACTTTACCCTCGTTTATGTGACTTTAAATTATTTAGAAGATTGTATTATTTGCTTAGTTAGTTTCTCAGGATATATGCGTACTTTTAGAGAGTTTATGTGTCTTGAATATCATTAGATTATTTGCTTATGCCTTTTAAAATTCGTTTGCCTATGTCGACTGATAACTTCGTAAACTGAAATGGTCCCATCTTAGAATAACAAACCAAAAGATAAAATTTTACCAAGCTTGATATTATTCTATTACAATACGTTTATGAAGTTCTTTTCGCGAAGGAATTTTTTTGAAAATTTGGAATTTTTTGAAAAAAAAACTGTAAAAGTGTTTAAAAAAATAGATATTTTATTTTAAAATTCATTACGTATCAGTACATATGACAGAGCTTTCACGATAAAAAGTAAATTTTAAAGCCAGAGACCACTTTTATCGAGATTTATTTGCGCTATTCTGTTAATGCCTCTGTAATTTGTTGTTTTAAGATAAGCTTTGTAGAATACTGCAATGGGGTTTAGTTGTGTTTAATGAAAACGTAGTGCAATACGAGCAGGTTAATTTTAAAGGGAGCCAGTTTGATTTATTCGGCTGCAAAGTGTTGGAATAATATTTCAAAGTATTTGCCCAGTTGCCGGTAGAACGAAGTGTATTAATAAACGTGCTTTTACCTGCGTTCCAATGACAACAGTTGGGCAATAACAATGTATGGGGTGGTGGAGTAATTCGACTGATAAAGGGAAAATTATCTAGAAGATC